AGAGAGAGTTCACAAAAATTTGTTCCATACCTCTTTCTGATGATAATCCTTTGAGGAAAAATTTTATGTTTCTCGTTGAGGAAAATACGATTAGACGTAATATTTGAAGGATCACGTAGGATTCGTAGGACACAGTGTTCGTAGGATATAAGATTCTTAGGACAATTATTTGTATGATATAATATCCGTAGGACACAATATTCGTAGGACACAGTATTAAAGTGACGGCGGATGAACGACTCCCCCGAGAGGGGGAAGCAAGTGGCTTTTATAGTTTCGTCGTGGGAGAATGGTCATGTGACCAATTGTTGTGAGGTAAAAGATACGCGGATGAGTCAAAGTTGTTCCCGGGTCCATGCTAACTATCAACTTAGGAGTTGGAATGAGGGATTGTTTTCGAAATGGACGGATGTTTACTTTGAACGAAAGGGGAGATTGGAATTTTTCCCTTTTTTTTTTAAGTTAGGTTTTAGTTTAGAATTTAAAGTATAATTTAATTGGGGGTTTGAAAAATGCGGGATATTAATCGGGAAATTCAGTAAAAATTCCGGATTTCACACTATTCTTATTTGTTAATACAGTTAATAATAATAATAATAATAATAACTCTCCCGTTGTCACCACCTGGTCGTGGTGGGAGAGCCCAGTAATTTTACTGAACCATAGGGCAATGCAGGCTGGAGCACAAGCTCCTGGTAGGGACACCCATGCCAGTAAGGTCTATGGGGAGAAATGAAGCTAAGAGTGACCACACACCCACATTCTGTGGAGATAATCATTATGGTAGTAACCAGATCGAAGTTTGATACCGGCTCGGACGTCGCCCGGGTTAACAAGGTCCGCGTTCGTGGGTTAGGCAGAGGCTCACGTTCGAAAAATAGGCTCCAGTCTCCCTTGGTTACCAGTGGCGAAAGCAGCACTGGCCCAAGTATGGCTACTGCAATGCCCTCAACAGATGTGAGGAACCAACCTAGCCTTGGTGTTTCTGTGGCAATGCATCCACAGACCACAAAGGCTGGAAAACCACGCCAACGGATGAAATGGACATCAGAAATGAACGACAATTTCATGGTGAACTCAGGATATATTCTTCCAATTAGAAAGTTCAGACTATGTACGAAAAATTTTTTTTACCTATTCATTATTTGTTTTTATTGAAAGTTTTTCTTCAACAATGTTACGGGTACTTCTGTGGTTGTGTTAATGGATTGTTAGATAGATTCAAAAATTAAAATAAAAAAAAAAATTTTCGTACATAGTCTGAACTTTCTAATTGGAAGAAATGAACGAGTTTATCATCCGCACTTGATAATAAAATGAATGTATACGTAATGAATAAAGTTGTGTGTAATTCCATATGTTATGAGATTTTGTTATAAAAACTTTTTATATTACAGTATTATTATAAAATAACAAAAAGCTTAATTTTGAGAGTGAAAATGAGTTTTATATATATATATATATAAATCTAAATGCTAATAACGAGCAATATCTTTATTAAATCCGATCATCCTCGTGATAAGACACATGACACCCTCTATCTCTCCATCCTTTGAACTTTAACAACCAAATTTTAATAGTCCCTTACATAGAAGTTACCGTGCCAGATTTTGTTTCTTACTATGTATCCCTTTCTGAGATATTAAACGAAATAGACACCAACACACACACATTTTGGGTGACAGGTTTTTGGCTTTTTTGGGCTCAGAGGTATCAAAACAACAGAATTCCAAAAACACGAAGGATCAAATGTCACACAATTACAATATTATATTATAACAGTTTAGAATGTAACCCATGTACGTTAAAACGACCAGGAAAGCAAGAAAGTAAAAATTTGAAATTATTTCAATACTTTTCCCCGGCTGTTATAACAAAAGCCATACACGCAATTAGAAGTAAGACAATGGAGTAGGAAAAGGTTTCTAAGGAGTTTGGGTAAATAAAACTACATCGATGAGACCCGTAAATGAAAACTACAGGTAAAAGGAAGCAACAAGCACAAAAATGGGAAGGCTTTTATTTTACATTCATTTTTACTAAGTTAGGTAACATTTTCCCCAGAGATAGATTTTTGTCACATTTTCTGAAGAGCCGTAATTTGAAAATCTGATGGGTTGTAAGTTAAATTGAGCTGCGCTGAGTATCAGAAAACATATTGAAAACTGATTTTGTTAAAATTCATATAAAATTGACATGACATAAAACTGATACAAGTAAAAAAGAAAATAGGAGTACGACTTTGACCACATTTTTATGTTAATTTCTCTGAATTCTGAAATCTCTTAGGCCTATCTCCTATTTTGTTTATCGCGCAGTAAAACTCCAATTATGAAAAAATCGATTAAAATTAATGTTATGAGTTATAAAACATGAAACATCAAAATAGTCACCGATAATATAGTCATATTCATCTTCGAACGTTTATCCTCTTTCCTTTTTACGATCCAGAACAGTGAAAAAATAAACAATAGATAAAAGTGTTTTTCTTAGAAGCATTACTACCTTTTCAAAAGTTAAATGAAAGGTATGAACTTTAAATAGACTAATGTGTCGATATTTGTGTCAACGGGATTACAAGCATGAACAGTGTTAGGTGTGGATAGATACATCCGCACCTAACACTATCGGTAAGGATGTAAAAATTGATTTAGTTTATCATTCCATTTAAGTCAAACTCAGTTATCATGTTTCTTTTTTCCCGAATTTTTCAATTCAATGCTAATAAAACTTGAGTAAATATGCAGAAATTCAATACTTGACTAACTAAAATATTTAAAATGTTTTATAACCGGCGCTTAAAGTAGTGGGATGAATGAAGAATGACACAAAGTTAATTATTTCCTTGTTTACCGAATTGTTCATCGAGTTTCCTAATAGTACTTTAATATTTATCCTACGTGATTTAAACAGAAAACTTATTTTATTGTTTTGATTATTTTGGATTACACTACAAATATGTATTTATTAGGGTTTCTCAAACGGGATTCCGGGATCCCGGTTGTTTTTTTAACCCGGGAAATATCCCGGGAAATTTTTCTTATCCCGGGAAATCCCGCAAATTTCTTAAAAATTCACTTTTTTTCTTATTTTGTGTTAAGGTTGAGGAATTTTACAAATAGAAAGCATAATTAACTCATAAACTGTCAGAATACATTTGTATTTATCAATTTTAAACCTACTTATTAGTTTCTGAAGTTTTTGCTCATTATAGCATGTCACAAATGGTCAATAATCAATACATAGCTTATTTGTGTCATGACTCTCAAAATTCTTTACTTGTTGGAACCTGTAATATCTGGAATAATTGTGCTTATGCTGTCTTAATTTTTAACCATGCCCAATAGCTTCGATAACGCGTAACACCATGTTGTACGATGTCTGTAAGTACGAAGTTTTTCTTCATAAACCTGATGATCAAAGACAAACTAACTGACGAATTATTGGGCTATAAGCTTGATGTTTCTATTAAAGCAGTCGAAGTAGACAAATGAAGAATACTAGAGAGCAAAAGAAGTATTACAACCTCGAAAACGAACTCGAAATCTTCCAGGCTACAGGTGAAAAAACACATAATATCTGTCTTCTCTTAAATGCATTAAACACTATTCCAATCACATCAATTGAATCGGAAAGGGCATTCTCGGTGGCAAGACTTTTCATTACTAAAATAAGAATTAGAGTGAGTTATCGGAGTATTGACCATCTTTGCTTTTTAAAATCTTATAAAAGTTTGCAATATTTTGTATTATATTTTATTTAAAAAACGAAAATTACCTTCTAAATTAGAAGTTCATTTTTTTAATTTTTAACTCAATTCAAAACATTTTTTTTGTTGTTGTTGTATGCAGTTTCCAGCAAACTTTAATTAATTTTTTTCTATTTGTGAAAATTTCTACGTTATTTAAAGGTAATTTTTATTATAGGCCTATAGACCTTACACAGCATTATTAATATGATTTTGGAGGTTACAGAACTTTAAAATTACTTTAAAAAATGGAAAATAATTATATCATTTGATTTCAAGATATTTTGTATACCTTAGAAATAATTAATTTTATCCCGGGATTTCCCGGGATCCCGGGAAACAGTTCACTTTTATCCCGGGATCCCGGGACAAGCAAAAGACCGGGAAATGAGAAACCCTAGTATTTATATATCGCATTTACTTTCCACATGTACATCCCCGTTTTTTTTTTTTTTTTTATTTTAATACAACTCGAGATAACAAATACACTTTCTTCAGTATTTATAGTAAGTAAAGTAAGTTATGTATCATTGTTTTTCATAGTATCGAAGTCGGAAACTTCTTATTAGTCTCTTCTGAATTTCAACATTTCAACAATTTTCAACTGTTTAATGCATTTTAGCATAATTTTATTATTATTAACATAAATATCAATATATAACTTATGATAGCTGCAATTTATTTACATTTACATTTAAAAATTTATATTTTACAAATTAATATTTTAAATTGTAAAATTAATAATTTGATATTGTTAAGTTCAAAATAAATTATGTAATACAGCTGAAAAGGACTAGAAAATCGCCGAAATGCATTCTAGAGTACTAAGTGTTAGTTTAAAAAACGGAAAGATGTGAGATTTGTCTAAAAATTGTAACAGCAATGCAAATATACTTCTATAGTTATTATTACTCTTAATTGTTTACAGATAGAAAGCTTATAACACTTGCAAATTAAATCCTAATATTGATCCTAATATGAATAATGTTATAGATCAATAGTTTCTTCGCATAATAGTTATAGATTAAGTTTATTTGTTTTTAGTGTTCATCTTTATCTACTTTCAGAATTACTATAAAAAATAATTAAATATTTTTACTTATATAATCATAAGAAAGTATAGTTCTACTATTGCTAAAAGTATTAACATAATTTAAATTATTTCACGTTTTATACTGTAAAAATATAGAATAATACAATGTAATATTCATTCATTAATTAAATCTAACAAATCATCTTCAATCAATGACCAAATTTTAATTAACATAATTATATAAATTGTTATAACTATTGTTTCGGTTAAATTATTATTGCTTCTGTTTATATATTTGAATTGTCTCTTAAAATCATATCTGCAGCTTTCTCGGCAATCATTATTGTTGGAGCATTGGTATTTCCTGAAACTATGTTAGGCATTATGGAAGCATCGACCACACGTAACCCTTTAACTCCTTTCACTCTGAAATTGTAACATAAATAATTATAAGGTAAAGTGGGACATGAGTCAATAATTTAAATATTTTCATTTATATTTTAATTATTTAAAGCGTTATCTTACTATTTATTATACCAAAAGACAGCAATATTCTAGTATTAGGAAAGTATTTAATGAAACTGTAAATCAAAGCAAGTTACACAAGAAAAGTAGAATTGTATACTAGTAATCAATAAACATCCACAATTGTGTAATAATTGTGGATGTTTATTGATTACTGTGTCTGCTTGTTAAGCAGAAGTATATTGTGATATATGCAAATCGGTTGGCTGGTTGACAGTGTCGGGATGATAGTCTACAAAATGTNTTTTTTTTGTTTTTTTTTGTAGAAAAATACAAAAGGAATTTAATCTTTTAGTAGCCGTCGGTATTCCTCTTCTTTTCCCTTTTTTTTATTTTATTTTTTTACTATCTGTCGGCTTTATAGATTGGTAGTAGTAGAGTAACATGTTTTATAGTTTCCATACACTTACTGTGATAGGTTGTCTTGTAAGAAGATTTGGTGAGTTGGCCTCGATTTTTTATAAAACATTTCTATATAAATACTTTCAAATAATGTATCATAGTCGTCCACAAAATTAGAAAATAAAAAAAAAGGCTAGATATATACCGTAGTAAGATGATTAAAAAGTTCTCTATATTATTCAATTTTATTTATTTATTAATACGTATGAATTTTTATTTTTTATCAATTTTTATTTTATTATAAAAATTTTATAATTAAAAAAAATAAGAATAAATTTTATTTTAAAATGTTTATTTTTGTTTTAATGTCATCGTATTCGTGAATTTGGCAAAATATTTGAATATTTATTTTAGTTGTACGAATAAAATAATTAATAAATAATGCAAATTTACGTGTATTTTCTAGCGGTTTTTTTTATATTTTTTGAACTAAATAAACTATAAATTTTTATTATAGTATCATATTTTCAATTATACAGCATTAAATTTTTACTTTAATGCATTCACAATTAAATATATAACTGCATTTTTTTTTCTATTTATTTACTTGAATTCAGTTTTAAATAGACGTTATTTTTAATGTCTGTTTAAAACTGAATTACTTGAAGTTCGATTGTGGAACCGTTATGAATTCAGCAATCGTAACGTAATACAATGCAATTACAAATTTCAAAAATTTTAAATTTTAAAATGAATAACATAAACAACAATTTTAAATTAATAAACTTAATAATTAATTATAGGAAATAAAATTTAAAAATACAACATTTTTGCATTTTTTTAAATAAAAATACAAATTAATCTCTTTCTTGTATTTTTAGAAAAATAAATAAATCAATTTCGTATTCATTTAAAAATTCATTTTTAAAAAATTATTTTTATCATCTGTAATCGATTATAAAATGTAAAAAGAAATATGAAATTAATATGTTTACTTTCTCTAAAAATACAGAAATTTATTAATTTGTTTTTTTTTGTAATAAAAATACAAAAATTTGGTTACTTATTCAATTAATTAATTTAAATTGTTGTTTATGTTATTAATCTTAATATATACTTTTTAAGTTTTCAAAATATATCTATACATATAATTTATTATTATTAGATTTTTTTATAGCAGTTATTTTTTATAAATTAATAAATGAATCTTGATTTTCTTAAACATTATTCTTTTCTTTTACAAATTGAATTTTTATAACATAGATTTAATCTAAATTGGCATTGCAACGAGGCTTTTCACATTATGTATAAAATTTGCTGGAGAAATTTGTGTAACAAATTTTATTTCATTTAAAAACTTTAAATGATGAAAATTTTTATGCAATAAAAGAAAATTACAAAAAAAGCTTAAAATCAAACTCGACATTTATTTTAAAATTCTGAAATTTCTGCTTCAAATTAACGAGATTTGAGCATATTTGCAAGTTTACAATTTATTTACATTTAAAGGTAATCTCGGACGATGTCTTCAGACAGCTGTAATCCTATATTAATGCGCTAAGCCCACAATAGGAGAAGATAAACCTTGATTTGGAGTGACGTATGCTAAATTCGTTTTCATGAAATATTCATTAAAATCCTGATGACTGTAAATTTGCTTTTGATCAATGATTGATTGCAGAGATTTTCCTAGCGCCTATTGTTACTAATGGCAGAATATTATACGTTAAAATATTATATTTTAATTATTTAAAGCGTTATCTTACTATTTATTATACCAAAAGACAGCAATATTCTAGTATTAGGAAAGTATTTAATGAAACTGTAAATCAAAGCAAGTTACACAAGAAAAGTAGAATTGTATACTAGTAATCAATAAACATCCACAATTGTGTAATAATTGTGGATGTTTATTGATTACTGTGTCTGCATGTTAAGCAGAAGTATATTGTGATATATGCAAATCGGTTGGCTGGCCTCTTTCCTTTTTACGATCCAGAACAGTGAAAAAATAAACAATAGATAAAAGTGTTTTTCTTAGAAGCATTACTACCTTTTCAAAAGTTAAATGANAGTAATCAATAAACATCCACAATTGTGTAATAATTGTGGATGTTTATTGATTACTGTGTCTGCATGTTAAGCAGAAGTATATTGTGATATATGCAAATCGGTTGGCTGGTTGACAGTGTCGGGATGATAGTCTACAAAATGTGTTAAGAGGAATGGAAATGGCCTTTGTGCAGTGGTTTTTTACTTTAATTTATGTTACGGAACAGTTACTGTTTACTGATAACTCCGTATGTATGTTAGAAATTGGGATTTTAAAGAACCCGATTGTGTTATTGTAAGAAAGGTACATAAAAATGGCAATTATGATAGTCATTATGTGACCTTTAAGATTGCATACGGATCCACCATATATTAGTTAAGTGTCTGAAATCTGGAGTAAGGTACAATTTTTATTGTTTTATGTTCGGTTTTTATGCTCGGCTATAGTTATGTATAGTTTTTTTGTCGTTTTATGCTTGTTTAGTTGGCTGAAGAGGGGAGAATACCCGAAACGCAAATGTATAGCACGGCGTACTAACTAAATAAAGATGGAAAACTTGCCAAGTGTTGGTTAAGAGGTCACTTCATTGTGCCAGTATACAATATATAAATAACAACACTGTTTCGATAGTAACAAGAAAAGTAGAAATTTAAGAGAATGCATCTCCAAATTCTTATTCCCACAGGGGAGGCAAGAATCTGCACAACTGACCTAATTAACATCACATACGAAAAAATCAGAGAATTTACACTGTAAGACGTGCAGAGTTCATGTCACCTCAGATACGAACATTTAATATTTGGCTTTTTATTTTTAATAATTGTTATCACATAGATGTCATTGAACCAGGAACTGATACTGATGAATGTCAGTTCTTACCTTTATAAATCTATTTGAAGTTTCTCTCAAAAGATATCCTTATTTCCAAGTAAAAAAGAATAAGATACGCATGGTAAGGCATAAATTGATGATATGAGAGTACAAAACCAAACTCTTCAATGCATAGCATTGAAGAGTTTGAACTATGTTTATCTCATATTATCTAGTTTTATTTTTTGTGATAATTTCTTTTTAATTGTAATAGTTGTAATAATAACAACGTTTGAGGAAATATTATTATTAAGTTGGGTAGGAAGTATCAGTAACCAACATTAGCCTACAGGAAGATTCACCTTCGGATTACAAGAGGATTTATAAGATTAGGGGCCATTTTTAAGTCTTATTTAGAAAACAAGTGCGTCCTCTATGCCATTAAATATGATGTATACATTTCTACAATAAATGACTAATTTAATTAACTTTTTAACATTTCAATAAATATTTGTAATTTTTTACAATATTAGTAATATTTTTAAATCCAATCAATTAAAAATACGTACGAAAACAAGATTAATTTAAAGAAAGCAAGTTTTATATACCTTAATCGAGGATCCACAACGGTAGTCGGATCCTCGATGGCACCCATTTTGCATGTTCCCACCGGATGATACAACGTAGCAGGAAATGATCGAGCAACACATTCTAAATACGAATCACTTAACAATAAAAATTTCTCACAGCCAGGAACGGGTGTTGTATAAAACCGAGCTGAAAACTTGCGGAAAGCTTCAGATAAACCCAACTGAATGGCTGTTTTCATTCCTGGAAATCATTTTTGATTTTAATTAAACTGTCATTGAAATAAATTTCAATGTTCGTAAACCGAAAAATGTTATAAAAGATGAATTAAGCAGTGCGTTTACCCTCGATCATCGTCAAAATATCTTCATAACGTGAAAAGTAATTAGGATGAATAATAGGATGATCGTAAGGATTAACACTTTTTAATTTCACATATCCACGACTTTTAGGACGAAGTAAAACAGNAGTTGTTTTTAATTTCGCGTGTAATTATTAATTACATTTAATTGAAAATTATATCTAATAAAATTTGAAATACTAACATCTTTATTTATGTTAAATGCAGGAAATAAAAACTCTCCTCCATCAGAAGTCAGGCTACCAGATATTAACAGCTGCTCAATATCTGGATAATCGTCAGAAAAATTTGCATATCGAGTTTGGATGAATCCGACAGCTTCTTGTCCTCCAATTATCGTTAATGGACCTGTAATAATATGATAAATCTATATAACTTTATCATTTTCCAGTATTAGCCTATTATAGTAGTATGAAAAACTGACCTTTTCCAAATTTCAAATACTGAACGAAGTTAAATAGATTAAATGTACGACGAAACATAATAGATACAGGTTTATCTATTAAGAAATCTAATCCTAGAGGATGAATATGATCTTGAAGATTAAGACCTACTGGAAGGTCCGATATCACAGGAATCTATATAACAGATTCAATTTTAGTTATCATTGTATAACCTATATAGAGTGGCCATAATTAGAGTTTCTCTATTCAGAGCTGTAACCAATAAGAGAATTGACACCAAAATTTGTATAAAGACTATTGAAAGAATGTGAAAAAGGATTATTAGTTACAGCTACAGAGTACTTTGAACTTTATGGCTACTCTGTATCTAACAATTAATAATATAATTTCAGAATATATAATATATAGTATAATGCAATAAATATAAACATTAACTAATGTAACTTCTGAAAGAAATTTTACAATGTAAGTATTACAGAAACTTTGCTGTCTTTCCAGATGAGAGAAAGATTATAAAATAAAATATCCTCTTGAAACAAATATATTTTTATAAATGCTAGAGCATAAATAGCAAAAATTCCAGCAACGAGTTGCTTAACTTTCTCGGCAACATTTAATTAGCAGTTCAAATGCAACTAATTTCGTATTGGTGATACTTCAGACCTGCGGAAGATGTAAAAAAATTATACCAAAATTCATCACTAATTCATCACTTTTGGCGCTACAAGCAAGGAAAAAAGCATTTTTCTTTGCATGATTGCGTATTACAGCCAAGTTCTAAGTATAAAAACGTCTTTAGCTGCTGTTTATCATCACAACGGCAGTGTCAAGGGACTTTCTACGGGAAAACGATCCTTATTTAGATGATAGATACATGAAGAAAACCAGAAAACCCATCCTGGTCAGTCTGTTGGTTAGGAGCGAACTCACAGCTAGTGTTTAATAGTTTTATCCACTCGACCACCTGTAGGCTCGATTACATTTCGGCTAAATGCAAAATATCTTTCAAGGCAACTGAATAGGAATACTTTAGTATAATATCGGACGTTCGAAATTATAGTTAAATTATATTAAATATTCTGTTGAAAAATATGTTGATTGAAATAGTTTATATGCTTCGTGTTCAACTATTTTTTTTAAATTTGAACCTAAACTATCTTGTTTGCCTATTACAAAAGTGCTTCTCAAGCAAGTTGATGTGGTCGGGCAAAAGAGAAATTTAAAAGCTAGTGATTCTCTTCTTTATCATTAGTTGCACTTGTTATAATATTAATACCTATAGCTTTAATTTTATTTATTTTCTCACAATCCACTTCTAGAAATGCGATATGCTTCTTTAAAACAAAGAAGAAATTACCATTACAGTCTTTACACTAAATCCTCTAATGTCTCCTTCCCTTGGCAAAGCAATATGTATCAACCTTTCTAAAAATTCGTAGATTTTCTCTCTAAGCAAAGGTACTTTACTACCTATTGTAGTACCTTTTCTAATCTTGAAACCAGAAATAACAGAAGTTAACGCAGGCTTTTTCTCTGCAATTACGTATTGGCAATCAAACGGCTCATTTATTGATTTACTCTCTGTAGCAGCATTTCTAACGCCGATAAGATTAAGAAGAGCTTCTTAAAGTACCAAATGAACAGTAAATATGCAAATGAAGTGCAAATGTATGATAAATTATTGTTAAAACAATATAACAAAACAAACTGAATATTTTGTTGATATCATTTGTTACCTTTAATTAAAAATTTTTGTTCTAAATTTATAAATTTAAGATATTAATTTGCATAATATATTTGTATTTTAAGCAATATATTTTGAATTTTTAGCTCTTACATACGTAAAAATCGTTAGCTTGATCTTCTCATTGAAAATTTTAATAATTGCTAATAATTTTATAATTAATTTTATTAAATTTTGTTCAGACTTAAAGCGTTAAAACTGCACAGATTACTGTAGCACTGTGTAAACATTCAATAAAAATTTTACACGTAATAATAAAATTGAAACTTAAATTTTGCGAGTTGTTTTTAATTTCGCGTGTAATTATTAAATTACATTTAATTGAAAATTATATCTAATAAAATTTTTGAAATACTAACATCTTTATTTATGTTAAATGCAGGAAATAAAAACTCTCCTCCATCAGAAGTCAGGCTACCAGATATTAACAGCTGCTCAATATCTGGATAATCGTCAGAAAAATTTGCATATCGAGTTTGGATGAATCCGACAGCTTCTTGTCCTCCAATTATCGTTAATGGACCTGTAATAATATGATAAATCTATATAACTTTATCATTTTCCAGTATTAGCCTATTATAGTAGTATGAAAAACTGACCTTTTCCAAATTTCAAATACTGAACGAAGTTAAATAGATTAAATGTACGACGAAACATAATAGATACAGGTTTATCTATTAAGAAATCTAATCCTAGAGGATGAATATGATCTTGAAGATTAAGGCCTACTGGAAGGTCCGATATCACAGGAATCTATATAACAGATTCAATTTTAGTTATCATTGTATAACCTATATAGAGTGGCCATAATTAGAGTTTCTCTATTCAGAGCTGTAACCAATAAGAGAATTGACACCAAAATTTGTATAAAGACTATTGAAAGAATGTGAAAAATGATTATTAGTTACAGCTACAGAGTACTTTGAACTTTATGGCTACTCTGTATCTAACAATTAATAATATAATGTCAGATTACGTTCAGTTTTTCTAAATCTTCTTTAATTCCAATGCCTGATAACATTAACAACTGAGGCGAATTAATTGAACCAGCTGAAATAATTATTTCTTTTCTAGCATAAATTTTATACTTTTGATTGAACCGATCGAAAATAACAGCTCTAGCTCTCTTGAAATCATCGAAAATGATCTAAAGCAATATTAATATTTAAGATATTTTAAAATCAAATATTACAAATATGTAATTATTTTTTTACCGAATAAAATTAACTTTATATATCGATATTTTCTTACCTTTGTAACGAAAGAAAATAAATGTATGGATAAATTAGAGCGATGTCGGATAGGATTTAAAAATGCCTTATTGGTACTGCATCTACAGCCAAATCTGGTCGTAGATTCAGGGTAAAAAAATCCTTTGAATCACAGAATAAGTTGTTTTATTACGCTAATTAAAGATTATTATTTTTGGATTTAAAAGTGTTTAAATTATAATAATAGTACTGTATATAGAAAACAAATATAATTTATGTTCTTAAAATGTCAGACTTATTTAATGTCATTCTTAAAATATGAAATATACCTGTTTGAGTAATACCACTAACATCTTTAATGGGATAACCAAGTAATTTTGCTGATTCCAAAAATGCATCCCTTAAAGGTGTTGCGTATCTTGGACCAGAAACTGTTTGAAAACCACCTATGCTATGAAATCCTTCGAAAGATATGGTTATAATATAAATAAATAAACAAATTTATTATTATAAAAATATTAATAAAATAGCAAATACTGTAAGAACTGAAAACTACAAAAGTAAAATATAGGATTCAGAGGAGGTTAGACCATAGATTTTCTTATAATGTAACATATTGGTAATATTTTGCCTAAACGAGTTAAAAACATAGCTTACACATTTAACTATAAATATATTATGAAATCTAATGTTAGATAATTACTATTGAAATACGTTCAATTTAAATAACGATGCTTAATAATAACTTTTTTTAAATAAATTTTTATATAAGAAAACTATTCTATTCATGTAAATTAGCCATTTACAGATAATTTTACCATTCGATAGTACATTTATATCCGTATTATCTTCAGATTTCAGAAAATATGGAAAGACTTCTTGCCAGTTCCAACCGTAAGCACCTTGTCGAGCCCAATTATCATAGTCTATAGGATTTCCTCGGGCGTATAGCATGAAATTCAATACGCTAGAACCACCGAGAACTTTACCTCTTGGCCATCTTGCTCTCTAAAAGAAATATAAATCGAAGTTTTATTGTTTTTGTTACGAAACAATATATTGTTATACTTATCGGCATCCATATAAGGTATTTCAGGTGTAGTATCGATTGGTATTCGTTATAATCAAGCAATCATATATGTTAATTCTATTAGAACGATCAGCCCGTTAGATGAGGTTTTTACTCATCAAGATCATGGAATTATGAAACAAAATATCAGCTATTCTTAACGAATTGATTGTTAGGTTGTCTTTGTAAGTGTCTTGTTTAATTTCTGTGATAAAATATTAACGAAGAAACTTTAAAACTATTGCATGCAACCAACAGATTTCATGACAAGGCATATGATAACCTTTATAAACTTTATAAAGTCATCCGTACACTATCTGTTACTGATGTCCAATGTGAGAGGACATTTTCAAAGATCATAAAGACAAGACTAGAAAATTAACTGTGTGAGGAGAATTTGGAATCATATATGTTGTTATCCATTGAAAAGGAATTGTTAGATGAATTGGATGCAGAAGCATTTATTGACAGATTTGCTCTATCATCTAATGAATTTAAACAATTGCTCTTAATAACGGACTGCATAAAATATGTTTTGTACTACCTGTCAATGTGTAAAATATTCGGTATAAAAAAACTAAAAATATTCACCATTTATTTAAACTTAAAAATTCCAATAACAATCTGTGTTTACATTTAGTATCTACTGTATATTCTGTAAAAACTCAAGAAAAGATCTTGATCAGAGAAGGAATAGAGAAATGCAGGAAACTTTGATAAAGGCATTTATAGAAAGTTTTAAAAAATATTAAGAATGCAATCAATTATAAAATTAAATTTAACAATAAAAGATAAAACCAATAAATCCATTAGTGATAAGCATAAATTTTACAGAAGAGAAGTAATCACACCAGTAATTGACTTGTCAGCTTTATTATACATGGAAATGAATCTCTTCTGTCTCTCTTCTGTAATTATTTTCTTTGCAAAATGAACATTTACTAAATTATTTTGCATTTTGTAATATTTATTTTTTAAAACATCTGTTACTAACAATATCATCATTTTAACAATTTTTAATATATTGTGCTTGTTTAAACAAAATTCACAATTTAAAATGTCTCTATTAATTATTGTGTCTTTTATAAGTTTAACAGTATTTTAATGTAAAGAACAGCTGCTAGCTTACTAATTCATTATTGCATTCTATTGAGAATGGGCCAATATGCAAAACAAAACAAAATCATTTGCTTGGGTTGAAAAGCAAAAAAAAAAAAAAAGAAGAAGAAGAAGAAGAAGAAGAAGATAAAATTTTCAACGCTGAATTTTAATTAAATTATAATTATAAATAAATAAATAATTAAAAACAGAAAATGTCTAGGCTCTAATTACGGTAAAATTCGCATTTACTTTGTGGTTATGTTTTATAGTATATTGAAACAAAACTACTACTTAGATAACTATACTTTAAAGGAAAAAATCCCAACGTTAAACATTAATCATCTGGATGATTCTAGGCAAATGATGAAAGGAATGCGGACAGCTTTTTGAAATTAGTGTTATTAGAGCTCCCTCACTTTTCCTTCTTACGCTGCGGTTGACATAATTATTTCAAACACTAATATATTAAACAAACTATTCAACCAAAACCTGTGATAAATAATGTAATGCATCATTTAAACATCGAACATAAGTGTTTTAGACAGCTTTAACGAATCGTTTAACAAGTAATTTTAAATGATTCAATGATTTCAGTTCAATAACTCTGTGTTTCTATAATTATTTAAACTGACTAATCGTTCTTGTTAAGTACTAAAAACTGAACTCTAATATAGAATGAGACTAGCTTTATCATATATCAAGAATTATGACAAATCGGCGACAAACCTTTTTCTGAGTTGTTAAAGTCTGAGTTGTTCTGTCATATTTTATTTTCGAAAAAGTTTGTTCTCTAAGGTACTTAGAAGAATAACAGAAAATATTGAAATTATAATTATATTTATAAAAAGAATAAATTAGCCTAGTCATTTATTTTAGAAGTATTTTCTTATCGTATAAAATTTCATTAATCACTTACATTTTCTTCAAAACCAAAACAGGAAAATTTCTGGGGTACTGTAAAATAGCTCCAATCGAGAAAAGTTCCTTCTAAAGCAATAGAAAATAAAGGAACATCCGTAATAATATTCTCATTGCTGCCAGCTTCTAATAACAGAACTTTATTTCTAGGATTTGCAGAAAGACGATTTGCAAGTACTGCTCCAGCTGAACCTCCGCCAACTAAAATAAATAATACAAATTTATTATCATTATTTCCAATATGTTTCTACTGGTTTAACGAAACTTTTTATTCGTATCGTCAATAATATTTATGGTTTACATTTAAGAGTATCGTACTTTACGGCATATAAAACGTAACTTTTGTCCAAAAAAAAGTCTAAAAAATTGCACTGTATCTTATATATGAAGTTGCGATCTCCGAGTTATTTTGTGTAATCGGTATATGATTTTCATGTATTGTTATTCATAGTTACCAAGTATTTTATATATTTTATTATGTCTACTCTATATGTATACATGTATATATAGTACTTAGCTTAAAATCATCACGACACCACTTTTTCCTTCAGGAAAAGAAAATATAGAGAAAAGATGGTACCTATAATCCATGAATTATCATTAAGTTTTTGTTATGAATAGTTTATAGGGCCTATTGGGAAAAAGCGGGAGAGCGAAGGAAGCGAACGGGGCCTGCCTAATTTAAATTGTCTTCATTTTTAAATGCTTATATGTTATTCTTGGTACTGATTAAAAAAGCCATATATTATACACATATTTCACATTAAAAATTGTTATTACGCATTTATATGATATAGGCCTATATATATATATATACACACACATAATAAATGTTTGGCTTTGCTGGATCAAGATTATAATCTTAGTATTTTATATACTCATCCCTTCTAGATATACTCTTGCAGGGGTGCTCGTACGTTGGGGTACGTGACACTTCTATTTGTCGTCGGTTTGCTCTTTTCTTAAACCCTCGAGCTCTAAGGTTTCATTTTATTTTTAAATTAATTACTTATTTTTATCACAGAAAACTTTTTTACTGGTGACAAAATTAAAATAAAAATATCTGATATTAACCGAAGACTTGTTTTAGAGGTCGAATAGCGAATTACCACTGTATTTGATTAATGCAATTTTGATATACGCGATAGCATCGAGAGATTAATTAACTGCGTTAATCAAGGGATACCTGTATATATTGTATATATTACTAACATCACTGGCAAGATCTTCCTAAGTTTTACGAAAATTGCAAAAAGTACCTGGGGTCTTAACTCTACTACAATGAGCACCATTTAGAGATGACCAGATCTTCTTACCAATGCTTGTGATTCCACTCCTTCAATAAAGTACATCATCAGAGAAAGCTTCTTTCAGCCCAAAGGCGAGCCCTACTTCATATTGCTAAGGGTTACAGTACTTGCCCAACTACTAGCTTACAAATCATTACCAAAAAACCATCCACCGATCTACACCTGGCTCTACTGACTTCCAAAATTCTTTTAGAATGTGGTATCTATGTAACTACAAACAATGGCTTCCTTTCGGCCAATAATCTTGAAACTCCTGTTAACATTTGTGCAACACCCAATCTTAGTATTCTACACAGCATCATTAAACGCAACTTTGATAACCTTAATGTTGCCATCTACACTAATGGTAGTAAATCTCTGGACGTCACTGGTTGCAGTTTTGCTGTTTATATCAGCGGTGTAGAATTCCACTCGCAGCGTTTCAGGCTCCATCCACAGTGCAGCAATTTTCAAGCTCTTAACTGGTCAAATCTTCACTACAACGACAGTAATATCTCCATACTATCTGATACCAACTCCTCAATTCATCCTCTCATCAACAACATACATAAAATTATAGTCACTTCTAACAACAATTATTCCTTTAGTTGGATTAAAGCTCACAACGCTAAAAGCTAATCACTTCAACATCTTTTTCATATCTTCTATCCCCGTTTTTATAGTCTGCTTCTCTTGGATCCTACTTTGCTTTCCATTAAACCATTAACATTAATAATGTTACTAAAAAATACTGTAGTAAAGGATATATGAGTGAAAAGTATAGGATATGTATACCTTGTGCTATCCTTATAGAAATAGTGTATATTCTGTTGTTGTAAAACTTTCCTTTTAACCAAAGAGTATACGATAATAAATCTAAAAACTATTTTTAATTTCAAATAATTAAACTAATACCCTCACGTTTTAATACTGTAGTAGCTACTCGTTAACTTCCTTATAATACAATTTTGAATGATTAAGAAAGAAATCGTATACGTCTGCTGACACTTTCAGCACTACATTCTGACAGAGAACTTTTATAAGAGAAATAATAGACTTAACAGTTGTTGCGCGTAATTTTCTCAACTTAATTAAATCAATTTAACTGAGTAAAAGTATTTAAATCAATTTATATTTAGACTATCAGTTTTCAACATCTTTATCTTTCTAAAAGCTTTTTAAGCATTGAAGCAATCGATGCTAAAATAATTAATAAATAGATCATGTTTATATTTAAAATAAATGTTAATAAATATCATCGTACTACAGTTTTTCTAGTTTTTCCCAAAATTATTAATAAAACTTTCCTATAATACACGATTTTGTCACCCACTTTGAAGCTTAATAACTCCTGTGCCTTTTGTCGAAATTTTCTGTAGTTTTACAGGGAGATTTACGTATTAGAGGAATTGATGTTATTAAATTTTGATGGTTAAAGATCAAAAAGGTGAGGAGATAGAGAGATCACATGTCATGATCGAGTTACACACATTATCACACACACATTACACATTATCACATTATCGAAAGGAATAGGACTTAAGTCGATATATTGTAAATTGTATAAATTACATAAAATAATACGCTTACCAATAATGTAGTCATATTCTTCTTCAAATGTATTCTTAACTTCTCTTTTGTTATCGAAAATTCTAAAAATGCTTAACACAAATAAAAGCAATTTTCGTAAACTTAGCATTTTCAAACGTTTGAAGTTTCGATACTTATGTAGACGTAGGATACCAGATATAGAAATGTAAAATATTTCGTTTTCGTATGACTACCGGTTAATCGATTGTGAGTTAAAATGCATACAAAATTTTCATTCACTTCTGAGTAACTGAAGGTAAATATTTGATAAATTATACCTTCCTTATTTATCAAATTGTTTGATCATCCTCTAATATATTATATAAATCATTGTTAAAGTACCGTATTAGATTTTTATCTAAAAAGTTATATTTTTAGAAAACGTATCTCCACTCGAGCTTTTACAAATAGTATTTTATATCTTCGATATGAACTAGCAAGTAACCAACTAAAGTGTGACTCCGATTTACGAGTACTTTATATCTGAGAATTCGATACAAAACGAGCTTTCTTTTATCTTTATTTCCCGATTTATAAGAAGAAATATTCGATAGAATGAAATTTGAATGCATTGTTTGCCCATTAACCTTTACTTGGTTACATCAAAACGATTTTATTCTATCTCCAGTTTTACGTATTTTAAGATTTTAATATTGTGCAATTTCCTTATCTCTATCTTCACTCAAGCTTATTTTGATTCATCAGTATTATTGACTAATCTTATATTTTATTTTGCTACAAACTAGATTTTCTCAAGTGTCAACTAACTTTTTATTAATATAATAACTAATACTAGAAAATATAAGGACTAAAAATCATGTAAATAGTTACGAAAATCTATTATTAAGTCTGAATTAGTTAAATATATCACCATTAAATATAATTTTTTTTTGTAAATTAATGTGTACTATAGCTGTAGTAGTCTTTTATATACTCGTTTCGTACCTTTATCTTTTACTGGTTTCGGAAATCAGAGTTTTTAATACATTAATTAATCAAGCATTTAATGACATTCATTTTATTAATCATTTCTAATCAAGATAAATTTATAAGCAAATAATTTAATTACAAAATAAGTAATAACAATAAATTCCTCGCTATTCGATTGCTTTATATCCAGGTAGATACAGATATAAAGCAATCGAAGAGTGAAGAATTTTTCAGGATATGTGTCCGACATACCCGAGATAAATATCCTCATAAAAACTTTGTAAAGCCGGTACACACATACCTCTATAATACCTGGCAAGTATACCTGAACATGCAGATGACAGAACTATTAGTTTTTTCATCCACACGTTTAGGTGTAAAGGTACTGTACATGTGTACAGTACCCTGCTTAAGGTTAGAATGAATCCTAGATTCGTTACAACAGTAGACATACATCTTAATCGCTTCGACTATTCATCAGGTCATCCTATTCCCACTTTATCATTATAAACATTTGTGGGTACCGAATAATCACTCATTTCGTGTCATAATTGTTTAATTTCTGTCTTAAGTCATTGTTTTTCTTTTAACAAAAATGTTTAATTGTACAACTTAATAAATCGAATGTCTTTTATTATTTCACAACACTAATCACATCATGTCAAAATTATTACGGATATTCAGTTTTTTCTTCATTATTTATTTAGTATTATGGATATTATGGGCCTGTTTCTCATCTAAATGTTGTTTCAATATTAGGACATTGCTTTATCAGTTTCATTTTATTCCCTCAGTGAAGATGATTTTATTGATAATTAGGTNCTTCAAATGTATTCTTAACTTCTCTTTTGTTATCGAAAATTCTAAAAATGCTTAACACAAATAAAAGCAATTTTCGTAAACTTAGCATTTTCAAACGTTTGAAGTTTCGATACTTATGTAGACGTAGGATACCAGATATAGAAATGTAAAATATTTCGTTTTCGTATGACTACCGGTTAATCGATTGTGAGTTAAAATGCATACAAAATTTTCATTCACTTCTGAGTAACTGAAGGTAAATATTTGATAAATTATACCTTCCTTATTTATCAAATTGTTTGATCATCCTCTAATATATTATATAAATCATTGTTAAAGTACCGTATTAGATTTTTATCTAAAAAGTTATATTTTTAGAAAACGTATCTCCACTCGAGCTTTTACAAATAGTATTTTATATCTTCGATATGAACTAGCAAGTAACCAACTAAAGTGTGACTCCGATTTACGAGTACTTTATATCTGAGAATTCGATACAAAACGAGCTTTCTTTTATCTTTATTTCCCGATTTATAAGAAGAAATATTCGATAGAATGAAATTTGAATGCATTGTTTGCCCATTAACCTTTACTTGGTTACATCAAAACGATTTTATTCTATCTCCAGTTTTACGTATTTTAAGATTTTAATATTGTGCAATTTCCTTATCTCTATCTTCACTCAAGCTTATTTTGATTCATCAGTATTATTGACTAATCTTATATTTTATTTTGCTACAAACTAGATTTTCTCAAATGTCAACTAACTTTTTATTAATATAATAACTAATACTAGAAAATATAAGGACTAAAAATCATGTAAATAGTTACGAAAATCTATTATTAAGTCTGAATTAGTTAAATATATCACCATTAAATATAATTTTTTTTTGTAAATTAATGTGTACTATAGCTGTAGTAGTCTTTTATATACTCGTTTCGTACCTTTATCTTTTACTGGTTTCGGAAATCAGAGTTTTTAATACATTAATTAATCAAGCATTTAATGACATTCATTTTATTAATCATTTCTAATCAAGATAAATTTATAAGCAAATAATTTAATTACAAAATAAGTAATAACAATAAATTCCTCGCTATTCGATTGCTTTATATCCAGGTAGATACAGATATAAAGCAATCGAAGAGTGAAGAATTTTTCAGGATGTGTCCGACATACCCGAGATAAATATCCTCATAAAAACTTTGTAAAGCCGGTACACACATACCTCTATAATACCTGGCAAGTATACCTGAACATGCAGATGACAGAACTATTAGTTTTTTCATCCACACGTTTAGGTGTAAAGGTACTGTACATGTGTACAGTACCCTGCTTAAGGTTAGAATGAATCCTAGATTCGTTACAACAGTAGACATACATCTTAATCGCTTCGACTATTCATCCGGTCATCCTATTCCCACTTTATCATTATAAACATTTGTGGGTACCGAATAATCACTCATTTCGTGTCATAATTGTTTAATTTCTGTCTTAAGTCATTGTTTTTCTTTTAACAAAAATGTTTAATTGTACAACTTAATAAATCGAATGTCTTTTATTATTTCACAACACTAATCACATCATGTCAAAATTATTACGGATATTCAGTTTTTTCTTCATTATTTATTTAGTATTATGGATATTATGGGCCTGTTTCTCATCTAAATGTTGTTTCAATATTAGGACATTGCTTTATCAGTTTCATTTTATTCCCTCAGTGAAGATGATTTTATTGATAATTAGGTACATATGTCCATGAACATCCGCAAAAACTTTTCCAGGGAAAAGGCAAAGTTTGGAAACAAATAATTACATCAATAAATTTGTATCTGATTTTTTTATGTTTTTTTTTTACATAATTATAGAATAGAGTATTGCATCAAAACGTCCCATGGTTGAGGGTGTAAGGTTACATATCTCAATTACTTTTACGATTATAATTTGTGGAATTTTTTACTTTATTGCGGGGGAAACAAGGGCCCCGTTTGCTCACTCTGCGGAGGCCCATGCTATGCCTGTTAAATGATTCAAAGCATTTAACAGCCTTCTATAAATAAATTTCTTATTTTTGCTAATGGGAAAACAAATCAATCAAGCAAGTAAACTAGGTCAATTTATTTTATTAATAACACATTTAATAATGACAAATTCGCAAAAAGGTAATAATTTGCATAATAATAAAACTTAGGATATACTTTTACGTTATTTTTAGCACATTTTTCCTTTTTTATAATTATATAAACAGAAAATGTAAACAAATTAATCTTCCATATAAATCAATTTCCGCAATAATATAACAACGTTTTACAAAATAATTTTAAATTATTTTATAAGAATTACTTGTCTACATTTAATAATAAATCTTCTATAGAATATTTATTTTTAAATTAATATAAAAATCTGAACTTTTTTACCTGACTATTCTTTTTATTTCTATATATAATATCATAATTTTGGTGGTATATAAACAGTAAAAATTATCTTTAGCTTTGAACTAATTTCAGAAATAAAATATATACATTCTGAAATAGAATTATATTTAAATAGATATTATAGATTATAATCCACAATTGTTAAAGCTATCTTTTCATTGATCTACATTTATCAATACTAAGAAGGAAATACATTTTATTTGTCCTTTAATATATCTTGATATATTAGCCTAAATTATATAATAAAATATAAATAAGATACAGTTCACTTAATTCACTTTCCCTGAATTTATAGTTCCTACTATTAAACTATTACATTTTCCTATTCTATAAACCAGCAAAATTTTTCATCTTTAACTATTGTTTAATATGTGTATAGTAATAACATTTGTTAATTACATTTCTCATTATAATTAAATTAAAATTCTTACAATAATCGGTACATTTGACTTTAAATTCTAGAATAAATAATGGTTAACAGAACATATATTTTTCTGACGATCAAAAGTATGAGTTAATACACGTTAATCAATCAGTCCCGTAGCAAGGAATAAATCAATTGGGGGCTAGAGGAGCAAACTGAAGAAAAATTGTGCTTAGTATTTTTCTTTTTATAGCCAGCACTAGGCTATTAGCTTATTTATTAATCAGTTTAAGTATAATATAAGTAAGAATAGCCTAAGTTTATATCATGAAAGCAAAGCCGCATGTGGACACTACTGACTAAACTGAGGGGATTTAGATTTTAATTTAATATTTCAAGTTTAAATATTTCAGTTGTTATATTCATAAATATAAATATAGTTTGTTAACAGATTAACTAAATATTTCAAGTAAATTGTGTTTCTTTTATATATATATATAATCTTAAAAAAAAACAATAGATTACTAAATTGATATTGGATACGCTAAAATAGGAAAACTTAAAAGAAAGTTATCATTTTTAAA